CGAACTTGAGGGTCTTTGCAGTCCCCTTAACCACTCAGCTGTGAGCTGCTGCTCAGAACAGCTGCTTCCTTCCTGTGTCTGCTCTCTCACCTCAGCAGCAGGTGAACCTAGCCACGGACCAACCTCTTGCCCCCATCTCCAATTCTCTGTGGGCAAGTAATCCTTTTTTCTAACCCGGGAAAAGAAATTAACCAGCGCGGGGTGTGTGTGTGTGTGTGTGTGTGTGTGTGTGTGTGTGTGGTGTCTTTTCAGTCCTTTGGATTGAAGTAAAATTTGCCTCCCCCTTTCATTTTTTGCATTTCTGAGCTCTGCCAGATCCGAGGGGTTTGCCTTTGGGTACAGGGTTTGGGGTGCTTCAGGAAAGGTGTCTGATGAGGCAGGGCTGGAGCCCTGGCTTTCCGCAGCCTGCAGATACAGCTCCGAGGGCAAAGCAAGAGGGCCGGGGAAGTGACGGCCGGACTGCGAGCTCAGACTGCTCTGGTCTCCGCAGTGATCCTGGCGTCTGTATGGCTTGCCTTTACCGCGGGGGCCTGTCCTTTGCTTTTAGCTGGACTTCCCAGGCATGGGCAGGACTTTTTACTGAACTTGTTAATGCGTGTGTGTGTGTGTGTGTGTGTGTGTGTGTGTGTATCTTGGACTGGGGGAAATTCACTGCAACACCCACATCTTTTTCATCTCCTAATTCTTAGGAACCACTCTGACATTAAGGACCTAAGAATATCTGGCAAAGAGTACAGCGGTCCCTGCCGCAGCACCCTTCCCAACACATCAGGAGACTTGAGAAGCTCTCTTAATTTTTAGTCATGGACACATACATACAAAGCATGACCTCTAGTCAAACCTAGACTTTAGGCTCCAATATACTGCAAAATTGCAATTAAAAATTGAGACGACGACCCATTAAACCACTGCTGTGTAGGGGTTGGAGGGAGGAGTACTTACAAACCTAATTTGAAATATGGCAAGTGAATTTATCTCTGACACACATAATGCTGCAGCTGTGGATAGCAACCTTCCTTCTGCAGCCCCTCTTCTCATCCTCTCCTCTCAGACTATATCTTCCACTAACTCCTCTTCTTTTTTCTACATTGACCCACCCAGAATTTTCTAGAACCTGCAGCATTTTTCTGTCACCTACACCACATCTCAGCAGTAAATAATACCAGACAAGACAGTCTTACCTAGCGCCCACCCAAGACCCAAATCCCTGATGAGATGTATTTCCCAGATCCTCACTGCAGCATCACAGCCTAAACTCATCCTTTTGGAGAAGGGTTACATTGCTTGTCAGCTACTAAGCTAGTGTGGGGATCATCCTTAACCTTTGGAGTAGGGGAAGCCCAGGGAAGGTGAGCCCTGTCTATCAAGTTACCTCACTGATGGCAGGCCTCCCTTCAGTAAATCCACACAAAGGGCTCATCCTCTTCACTCTCCTTGGGTTTTTTTCTCCCCTCTCCTTATCCCATACTCAAGTAGCCAGGCTTCTATTAACCCTAAGAATTCAGGACTAAAACATACTAATGCCAGATGTGACCAGCCAGTAAGCCTACACTTGGAACTCACTTCTCAGGCTTTCAGACTGGTGAAATCTCTGCCTTTAGAAGGGACCAATATCTCACATTTAAATATTTTCCCCCACTAAACTCTGGCAGCATATAGTCAGAAGGGCTGAAGGCAGAAGATTCACTGAGTAGGATGGCATCTTGGGTTCGGGAGTGATGGGAGAGGGTTTTGGTACACACTGCATGTAGTCAAGCAGAACACCAGCAGGGGACAACTTGGAGCTATTGCTTTATGTATGTTCATTGGTACTCTTGTCTATAATTCTATGCTTAATCACAAAGAGTCCAACATTTATGATGTAAACTCTTGCTGTAGGATCAGTTTGAAGCTGAATGCTAAAATGGTTGTTTGTATATAGCTTTGCTCCATTAGGATCAGTTGCTAGAGATATACTACCTGGATTGTATTACGATTAATTTAATTTGAAAATTCTCAGCACATCTCAAGCTGTGTTATTGTCTTATGTTATAACAAGGTTTTGTTTTGTGTTTTAGTCTCTTCTCAGCCTAGCATTGAATACAATGTTTTATGGGGACATGGGGGGTGGGAATACTTAGAATGGGCTGATTGATGCCTGACTTTCAGACACCTTTGCTGTACCTTATTTACACCTCCTTCTCCCCCATAATCTATTGGTCTCTTAACAGAGAAAGCTTTACTTACATGCTTCTGTATTTTTCTCATAACCTCACCTGGGGCTGAGACCATACTAAGGATTCAGGAAATGTCTGTTAAATGGATGATTCATTGCAGGTTACTGGTTAGAGTGTCTTTTTTTTCCTGCTTTGCTTTTTACAGTATTTGATATTTCAGCTGATTGATCTCCTAAGAGCCTCTTTTCTAATTGAAGAATACTGATATAAAGGGCAAGAGCTACATAAGAATAAGAATGATGACCATCTCCACAGAAGCTTGACTGAACATGATTCTGAATGCCCCAGTGCAGACATGGTCCCTAACCTGGGACTTTGGACATGTTATATAAGTTATCCAATTAGGCTAGATAAAGAATAGATCAGTACAGTGGGGTCATTCTTTGAATATGGCCCCCAGTATTTACCATGATTCCACTCAAAATACAGTTCACCCAATCCAGCACAGAGACCCTTTGATTTCAGGCATGCTGGAATCAAAGGAGAGAAAACAAAACAAAACAAAAAATATGGCAAAATTAAAGCTCTTCTCCCTCTTTTTTTCCATTCTTTTCATTATTAAATGAGAGAATGACACTGTAGAGCTACAGTGGAAACCCCCCTTTCCTTGACCAATAGCTTCAATTTCCCTAAACCCTACCTTTTAGAGCAACTTATGGAAGAAATAGGTGCCTTTCCTGAGTCTTAGCAGCTGTCAACCTCCCCCCACCTCCTGCCATTTAGTAAGATGTTATAAAGAGATGGGATGAACACAGCATTTATGGAAAAGGTAGAGGATTCAAACAATTAATTTAGATGGGATTAACATACAAACCTGTTATCCTTCACTTGCTCTAGTCTCCTAGGATTTGACTGAAACAGAAATGGGAGTTTAAAAGTTATTAACTTGCATTTATTTATAAATGCCTTTTGATTTTAAAGTACTTTCACATATATCATTTCAAGCTTCACAACAAATGTATGA